AACGTTAGGAAACAAAACCTCCAGAACACGGCCACACAGCCCGGAAGACCCACACCAGCCAAAGAATATGAATACTAAAATTATTACTTTGACCATTTCCATCTCAGACAATCAAAACCAAGCAATATATTTAATATCAGTTTGATAACCATGTATTCATCATGACTTCTTCCAAAGGATCCCAACCTTTTGCTTGGGGAAATATTAATAACACTATATTCCTACCAACAGCCATCTCTTAAATCTAGAGCAGCCTTCCTCATCTGTTCTATCATGTGCTTAGACTGCTATGCTAATCCCTTTGACCAATTTTTCTGATTGTGTTGGGTAGCTGGTAGCAGTCAGTTGGTCCTGGGTTCCACTGGAATCCATCCAAATTCACAATAGAAAACAGAAAGTTTTAAATTTTGTGCATATCTCTAATATGAGTGTGGATATACATTAAGACAAAAATACTCAGAGACACATAAATTATAGTCATCACTTTGCTTAACCCTCATGTGTCCCACCATTTTTTCCATTTCAAGTTGTCATAATTCTCAGTGGCGTTCCCACTTTCTGCCGTTCAAAGGCATATTTATTGGTCTTTAAACAATGTATTCATTGGAGTTGCATAGAAGGAATATCGGGCAATGAAATTGTGCCCCATACTGTTAAACATGAGTATAAAAACTATAGATAGCCCTTAAATCCCATTCGAAGTATACAGATATTTTTACACCTCCCCCCCCCCCAAAAGATGAATATTGCAATAGCTTCACATCTATGGTGACTTTGCTCAATTGATAGATATTAAATTCAGCCATGTGATCATGAACACCAATGCAAACACTACCAATATAATAAGACAAATAATTATACTCCACATTCAAAAGCACTTACAGATTCTTGGATTTGAAAGTTTCAGCAAATTCCCAAACACTCTGAAGAGAGGCAAGATCCAAGGCAATTGCTTCCACCTTGGCTTTGTGCTAAAATGAGAGAAAGTTAAATGTTAAAAAGATCAACATACTTAATTCACAGTATCATGTGATAGCAAATGGGCAAAAGCAGATGTTTAAATTATTTAATCATAGTAGTACAGATTACAGCACTTTGGGGTATCCAGAGATAGTTTACAGAAGGTTTTTTTTTTATGCTAAAGGTGCATATAACTAAAGTAAATCCTGCAAAAGGTATCTGAATATTTACTCAAATATCTCAACATATTTCCAGATAAACTGCCCCAAAAGATTACCAGATCTTTTTTAAGTAAAGATTTCTTAATCTCATTACCTGCAGAATAAATAAAACTGAGTTGCATGAGAAGTATTCCTTTTAAAAAAAAAAAAAATGAAAGGACTTAACTGCCCTTTCCGCCAATGGACATAGCTCTTACAAAACTTTAAAAAAAAACCTTAAAATTACAAAATATATCCAAAGTTCATCAGCTAAAATCTCCTACGCCTTATGAGTCAGGCAAAATCCAATATGAATTGTTGATTCAGGAACAGAAAATTATCTCAACAATTCAAATTAAGTTAGAAAAAAAATAATGCAGATGTTCAAATCAAGTTTGTTTTTTTTAGACGTTTTAAGGAAAGAATATAAACAAACAACAATGAAAAGTAAAGAGTAAGAAAGTAAAATGTAAACAGAAAACAAGGGATCTAAAAGTTTCATGGAGGTTACAGTTTTCCAATACATAATTAATGACTTAAGAATAATTGAATGTATTATTTTAAAAAACTAAAAATCATTATTAAATATTGAACTAAAAGTAAAGATCAGGAACCATGGTCAACACATACAAATCAACAACCAGAATTATGAAGTATAATAAATTGAATTGATTCTGAGAATTTACTCTAAGTCTCCCATGAAGTTAAAATATAGACTCTATTAATAGGGAAAAAAACAACTTTTGGATGAGGTACAAATTAATGCATTAATTTATAGTCCAGGAATGGTTTCCAGTTCCATAAATCAAACAACATTTCCAATATCAAGCATATAGTATCCTTGCAGTAGTTAGCATAAATGAAGCTAATTCAGTATACTTTAAAGTAATGGATGGTTTAGTAAATTTTAATAGGACTATTGTAGTTTCAATTCAACTTTTAAATTTGTTTCATTCTAGTATGGATTATTTTCCAGAAATCTTGTGCTTTACAACATTGCCACCACATATTAAAAAAATAATCCAACATACTCATTACATTTCCAGCAATTTTGAGAGAATGATTTGTCCATTTTAGCAATCAGGATAAACTGCACTCAAATTCTGCACCCATTTAATCATATACTCTTTTGCATGTTCAGACTCTGAATCATACTTCACAAGCCATTTATAAATAAGGCCCAGCAAATATTCTGAATTGTGTTATAAGATTTTTTTGATTCCGTGAAGTTTCTTAGTATTTCCCTTTATTTCTGCAATTATTTTAATGCTATGCTACTTATACTGAAACCAGTCAGGTAGACTAGACCATCGTGAAGAATCTCAAAAGATTTCATCTTCATCTTGCTGATAATTAAATCTTGCAATTGGAACAGGTTATTAACTTTCCACAGAACTAATTTCTGGTACTTTCTTCTCATAAAAGTAGACATTTAATAATGGAATGAGAGGGGAGAAATCTAGGCTTATTATTTTCCTATATCTGTCCTAGACATTCAATATATTACTTATTACTACATGAACTCTTATAAGTTTATTTCTGTTTGTATCAACCTAAATATATTTATGCAGACTGTCTGGAAGTCCTGCACCTTCCATAGAAGTAGTCGGACTATAAGCGGGGAATCCAGTATGACAATCCGCTATGAAATCCACATTAAGAAAATAGCATGGTAATATCTATGCGGTTACTAGAAGTCGAAAACGACTTGATGGCACATAATTAATCAATCAAAAAAATACAGTTTAAAGTTTGAAGCCACTAATCCACCTCACTCTTTTTCAAATCCTGTAAAATCTTAAATTTAATCCTTGGTCTTTATTGGACCATGTATAGTTCATTCCTTATTTATGCCAGTCACTGAAAACCTTATTATCAATATGTATTGGAATCATTTGACAAGAAAATTGGGTTTTGATAAAATATTCATTTTAATGGCTGCTGTTCTTCCTAGCCAAGACAGACTTAGTTTCTCCTGTGTAGATATATCTGCTATTATATTTTTTCAGCTCAATAAGTAATTATTTTTTAAATAAATCCTTAGTTTTGTCAGATAGATTCCTAAGCATTTGACCTTAAAATTAAACCACTACTTGATACAAGTATTGCTTTTCTTCCTCTACCATGTCAACTTCTGAGGTTTTTTTTCTTTATTAATCTAATAACCTACAATGAAGCCATATTGCTGTATACATTCCATTAACAATATTAAAGAGTCTTTAGGTTGAGTAATTGTGAGTACAACACCGTCAGCAACTAATTTCAATTTACGTTCTTGCATTGCTAATTTAACTCCTGGGATTTTATTTCCCTGAAGTATTGAGTCATCAGATGTGATGGATTCAGGATAAGCTAAACTGATTTGAAGGTTCACTCAAACTGCCTTTGAGTTTAATTTCAGAATCAAACATTTGCACAGTATCACCATGATGGATGGATGGATGGATGGATGGATGGATGGATGGATGGATGGATGCAGACAGACAGACCATTTACCTGTCTGTGGAATGATAACAGGGATACCCCTCTTGGCAGAAAATTACAAAAATTGGGAATAGCCATCAAGAAAATTCTCTCATTTTTACCATTAACTGGCCAAGCAAAGCCTTCTTCTGTAGATCCCAGTGTTCAGATGGCACAAACAACCACATAATTACATCATCATCATCTTCATCATCATCATCATCTTCATCATCATCATCATCATCCTAACTCAATCCTGGCCGCGCTTGGCCAAGACAACTTTGCAATACACAAACCAAATAGAACCAGTGGGTTTCTCGGAGAAGAAGAAAAATGGCCTTTTTCTCCCTCTTTTCTTTAAAAGCTATAATGCTCTGTTCTTGTCTCCAAGGAGAAAATAAAAAGGCTGCCTCAAACACAAGGACAACAAGGGGTCAAAAAACATCAAATAGTTCAACAAACTAAACCACAAGCTGTTACTTAGCGTGCTCTTGGGAACAGTGATTCAAGTCCACACACTATTACTCAGGTAATGCTTTGCTCATTCTGGACAACACTGCAGGTCTCTCCTGCTGGTCTGGAAACCGAAGAGACAGCATTTGCAATATTATGAAGGGAATGGAGAGTGAATGAATGCCTGCTTGTGTGTCCTCCCTCTCTTACTCCTTCACAAGTTAACACTGGAAGAAAGAAGCTGGGCTTGAGAGTAGAATCCAAATATGAAAAATCAATAAATGGGTAACTCCGATATGTAGATTATCCAAGCTATGAATATGGTCTGCACTCTGACATTTCAGGCAATAAACTGAACCCCTGGTTACTTGGAAAAATAATACATTTTCTATTGTCAAGACAGCTAATGTTCCCTTTTTTTTCCTCCCAACCGTCAAATTAATTTGAATTTCTATAGGTTTTTAGGCTTACCGCAGCAAAGGTTAGTGAGAAGAACCACCTTCTGTGGGAGTATTTCTCAAGCACCTCAAGTAGAAGGCTTTGAAAGGTCACACATTCAAATAATAATAAAAATAACAATGACAGTTTCTAGGGTACCATTCATGAACATACATAAATTATAAAGACAGAAACATATACAATCACCACTGACCTATATAGCAAAAAATGTCATTAAACTTCACAAATCTGGCTTTTTAACCCCTCATTAACTTATATTTACAAGCTGTCCTCCCTATTCATAAAAGCTAGCAAGGCTGTATATTTTTAAACTATTCTTTTGAGTCTTAATGTTGCCATTTGTGACAAAAAAGCTATAATGAGTTATACCCTTTATTGCCTTTTGGTATAAAAATGAAAAAAAAATGAACTTGTGATTTATGGTTTTGATGATTAGATAGGATAGATTGTAGAAAGAAGAGAGTCATGATGTATTTTTAGAGAGAGAAGTTAAAATATAATTGTACTTCTGTACAACTGCTGTGAAGATCGGAAGTCACTTCTTTATATGTTTCTTTATATCTTTTTCTTTTTTCCTACTTTTCTTCTACTTTTTTTCTTATTGTACTTTTAGTGTTTTCTTTCATTTCTCTCTTCCTCTTTCATTTTCTTTGTTCTATTTTAGTTTGTATTGCTTGTTATTGCTGTTAAAACTTTCAATAAAAATTATATGAAAAAAAAGCTATGAGTTACGAAATGTGTAACAATGTTCTATAACTTCTAAAAGTGAGCTACATAGGCTATCTCTGAATTTACAGTGTAGACAAGAACTTCATCCAGTAAATTCAGGGTTCACATGTCATAGTTGGCTTAGTCACGGTTTACTGAATGGATCAAAGTCAGTTGGATTTGCATATCCCATTGCACCACACTTATTTATTTTATTTTTTTTATTTATTAAATTTTTCAACCACCCATCTCCCCCCAATGGGGGAACTCTGGGCGATTCA